TCTAGTTCAAGCTGGTGTCGATGCTGAGAAGTTATCTCGCAAACTGAGTAGCCATTCAATTGGAAGCGAACACCTGGCTGATAATATAGCAGTACAACAAGGTAAAGACAACGCTGCGGAAGGAAAGTTCACGATTGTGGACGCGTTGGAGTTTAGTCGACCGGAACGTAAGTTCTTCATCACTGGGTTGGTCGCCGCTGGTATCAATGGCTTCTCAATGCCTTGCTCCGCTGTATTAATCAGTGAAATGGTCGCCAGTATGACTACGGCCTACACGAACTACCAAACGTTCGGACTTCAGTCGTACCTGGATCATCTCTCAAGCGATATCACGATTTATGGCGTATGTTACATCGCAGGTGCTGTGGTTTTGTTCTTCACGAACGCTACTCAGAGCTTCTGCTTCCGCTACATGGCAGAAAAGTTAACGTCGAGATTGCGAGACATTCACTTCTCCGCGCTATGCCGCCAGAATATCGGCTTCTTTGACGAAAAGAAGAACGCCACTGGAGCTCTTGCAGCCGATTTATCAACAAATGCTACGAAAGTTGCGATGATTTCTGGAGATTCTCAAGGTCGAGTGGTGCAAGCTGCGTTTACTTTCATTGCTGCTCTGGTTATTTCGTTTACGACGGGTAGTTGGCTGCTGACTCTCGTGATGCTCGCCGTGTTCCCGCTTCTTATTATGGGGCAAATTATTCGAATGAAACATGTCCGTAAGGGCAACGTATTGTCAGATGAGCTGGCGGATGTTGGCGCGCACGCCTCAGAAGCGCTGACTAACATTCGGACGGTTGTTTCCATGGGTTTAGAGCAATCTATGACCGAGAAATTCAACGATTTACTCGAGGAACCTCTTGCCAGTGGACGTCGTGAAGCTCGGTTGAATGGCGTTGCGTTGGGGTTCAGTTCGTTTATTGTTTTTGCAACGTATGCGCTTGTGTTCTGGTACGGCGGCAAGCTGGTTGACGGCGGGAATATTACATTTTCTAAGCTTATTCGCACCCTGATGGCGATCATGATGTCAGCTCAGGGTGTTGGACAAGCTGCGTCATTTCTAGGAGACTCGGATAATGCAGTGAAGGCTGGCAAAGCGATTGTTGCGCTCAAGAACCTTGAGCCTCCTATCGACTCGTTCGACGAGAGTGGCTTGCGCCCTACACAGCTTGAAGGCAAAATTGAGTTCAAGAACGTTACCTTCCGATATCCGACCAGGCCAGAAATTACAGTACTCAAGAATTACAACCTCACTATTGAAGCTGGACAGACCGTCGCCTTCTGTGGACCCAGCGGTGGAGGCAAGAGCACGTGTGTCTCTCTTATTGAGAGGTTCTACGACCCAGTTGAAGGCCAAGTATTGCTGGACGGGGTTGACACGAAAGAGCTCAACCTCAACTGGCTGCGAAGTCAGATTGGACTGGTCGGTCAGGAACCCACGCTCTTTATCGGTACCATTGCGGAGAACATCGCGTACGGACTCACGGAGAAACCCACTCAGCACGACATCGAGGAGGCTGCCAAGATGGCCAACGCTCACGGATTCATCACGAAATTCCCTGATGGTTACAACACGCAGGTGGGTATGAAGGGAGAACAGTTGTCGGGAGGTCAGAAGCAACGCATCGCCATTGCTCGTGCCATCTTGAAGAACCCAAACATCTTGCTACTGGACGAAGCCACGAGTGCTTTAGACTCGGAGAGTGAGAAGGTGGTGCAGGAGGCTCTGGACAAGGTGGTGGCACTGAAGCGACGTACGACGATCATTATTGCTCACCGATTGTCGACGATCCGCAAGG